ATTTTTGGTTTAATTAATAAAAGATATAGTAAGCAAGCATAGAGATACAGGTAGCAAGCATCTAAAATAGCATAAACAAAGCCTCAAAGATAAATTCCTATAATTGAAAAATATTATGATATTATGATTTTAAAGGCATTCCTTTAAACCCTTCCTAAAACATTCCTTGTAGCATATACAAAGCATTGTGTAGTGTTCATATGATGAAAACTCTGATCTCAGGTAAATTTAGAAAAAATACAGTGCCCTAATTCAGGACCAGGTGCATATTAAGAAATTAATGAAAAAAACCCCCCCCCCCTTCCCCTTCCTCTCCCCCCCCTCACCCCCCAACTTCTTATTTATTATCATTTTCACACTTTATTTCTGGTGCAGTGATAACTCAAGCTATCCATATTTGAAATAACATTTCAAGTCACCTTACTGGTAATGCAAGCAGTCACATTGCAGAAGTAGAGATAGAACTACACAGGAGGGCCAGATTAGTAGAATAAAAGAGTTGCATCAGCCTCTCAGAGTGCTTTGTACTCCAGTGCACTGCTAGGTTAATCAGAAACATGCAGCTGGCATTGTTTTCATACTCAGAGATCCTATTTGAATTTAAAGTCCTATTTAACCTGAGGTGGAAACTTATGTATGTACATGAGAATGGAGTTCTCAATGAGGTACAACTCTTCTTGTTCCACAAGCTAGCATTGCACTGAAAACAAGAGCATGAAACAGTCAAGCACTTCAGTAATACTTATACTTCCAGTAGCCCTCAATTTCTGTTTTACTTTATTCTATCATCAACCTTCTTCATACAATAAAACACATAATCAAAGCAAGGAGCTAAGATAAAAGTGAAAAAAGGCAGTAGAATCTCCACTTTGTGCGTTTTTTTTTTTCTAACAAGCTTAGTCTTTGATCATTTCCCATTTGATCAAAGAGTGCTTTGATGCTTTTTGAAGAAGTACTGAATTATTGGAATAAAGATATAGAATTTGATTCACATTTTCATCCAAAGAAAGTAAGTGAAAGAGCTGGACTGGTAGTTTGCAGTAGATATGTCTAAGGATGAACAAATAATTGGGAAAAAAAAAAAAAAACCCAAACATAAATAAAAAAAGGAGGATGAACAAATAATTGGGAAAAAAAAAAACAAACCCAAACATAAATAAAAAAAGAATATAATCTAGTTACAAACAAAAGTGAAAAGTGGGAAAGCAAGCTAAATATATAATATATTTCTCCCAGAAAATGTGTCTCTAACTGCCAGTCAAGCTGCAATAAATGTCTTCAGCTGGGAAGGAAATGTATACTTATGAATATCAAAGTGCAAAATGTATTGCAGATTCAGGCCTGAACAATATTTACCACAGCTGGAACAAATTCATTGTAAAGAATACTAGAAAGAAAGGAAGGAAAAGCTAGGAAAAAGCAAGAATATTTTTAGCTTTTTGTGTTTGTAGAGTTTCATAGTAAGCGATGTGGGTTTTGTTGTGGTTCTTTGTTTGTTTATTTGATGGCTGAAGTGGAAATTGGTAGAAATGCCTTAGGTAAAGTTCAGACTTCTTTTCAAAGTCATCAAAATGAATGTAAAGTCTGTAATTTGGGATTAAACTCGTGTTATCTGGCCTTAAGTGAAATAGTTCAGTTTCACTTTGGAGTGTGGATGGTGAAGTGTAGCCAAGAAATCAAGTAAAATTTCAAAGTCCACATTCTTTTGGCTTTTTTTCCCCCCTGCTTCTTTTCTTCAGATATCTGTTTTTGACTTCATAAATAACCCAGTCTTATGAAGTGCAGACAGAAAAGCCTGAAAATTGCATTTGGTTTAGGATGGAAAAGACTGCTGTTCATTAAAATTATAACATATATTTTGATCAACAGTTAAGGAATATTTTGTTTAACCTGTAATTATTGATTTAATAGTGCAACAACTTTAGAAGGTAACTAATGATTATTCCTATTTTAGGGAGAATAGCTACAGTGTTGAAGCTGTGTCTACCCTGAAGAAACTTTCATGGTAATCACCTTTTAGATCTCTATGATCTTGATCCCCAGTTCAAGAAAGACAAGGAACTATGGAGAGAGTCCAGCGGAGGGTTATGCATATGATCAGGTGACTGGAGCATCTCTTTTATGAGTAGAGGCTGAGAGACCTGGGTCTGTTCAGCCTGGAGGAAAGAAGACTGAGAGGGGATCTCATCAATGCTTATAAGTATCTAAAAGGCAGGTGTAAAGAGGATGGGGTAAAACTCTTTTCAGTGGTTCACAGTAACAGGACAAGGGGCAACAGGCACGAACTGGAACACAGGAAGTTCCGTCTGAACATGAGGAAAAACTCTTTTACTTTGAGGGTGACAGAGCACTGGAACAGGCTGCCCAGAGGGGTTGTGGAGTCTTCTTCTCTGGAGATACTCAAAACCTGCCTGGACATGATCCTTGCAACCTGCTTTAGGTGAACCTGCGTTAGTGGGGGGTTGGACAAGATGATCTCCATAGGTCCTTTCCGAACTCTGCTACTTTGTGATTCGCTGATTCTGTGACTTCCTAACTCACTGAACTCATATTTATAATCCTAATAGCCTTTTCAACGAATGCTTAGAATACCAAGGAAATTGCCGTGTTAATTTTTGAAAATAATAATTTGAAATTAAGCTGGATCATGAGTGAGTTGCCTCACTCTAGATCCACGCCAAAACATTAAAAAAAAAAAAGTGTTTTAATATTCACAAATGCAAAGTGAAGCACTGAAGAATAAGAACTGCTGAAGATTTTAGAGTAAGGAAAGCTGCAAGTCTCAGAAAACTCTAGGAACTATAAAGGTAAGTGAATGAAAGAAAACCACACTACAGGGCTGTGGCTAAAAGGGTTAATATCATTCTTCCATGTTAAAAGTGAGTAGGAGTGAGAAGCCATTATCCATCTGCCTGCAACACTGGTAAAATCAAGAGTGAAATATAGCATACAGTCTGGTACTCAGATTTTAATGGATACTTTATAATTAGTACAGGTGAATAAAACCCCCTTACTATAACTATTTAAAGTGCCAGAAAAAATGTCTGTCATTCAGAAAGGTCATTCTGAGGAATGATATTTACAGAGCTTGCCCACCAGAAACTCAATCCATAGTAATTTTGAAATTAATTGTTAAATCATGGTATATTTCTGAGCATATACTCTTTTCCAGAAGGAAGATGCCTTTCTGTTAGTTTAGTTGAGTCATTTCTACTTTTCAAATTATGATAGGAATCATTCTTCATATTCACTGATAAAGAAGTTGTACATTTTAAAATTTCCGTTCTCTCTGTTTTGAGTGCTTCTCCTCCTTTGGGTTTGAAGGCAGTGCTCAGGTTTCTTTGTCGGCTTGGTTTTCCATTGTCATAGATTTGATATAAAAATGCTCCAGCTGATTTCTTGTTTGGCTATACTTGCTAGAGAGTGACGTTTCTTTTTATTTTGTAGTTTTCAAAACCAAGAAACAACGAGGCAGCCAGACTCAGGGAGTATGACATAAATAGAACAATCAATAGCAAGTGTAAAATACTAGATTGAAGTGGCAGAAAAAATAACATACTGAACAAAGAATGGGATGTTTTCATGGAAAATATTTGTTACCCTGTTGGGAGTACTATACTGATGTATGGTAACTACATTTGCTACTTTTTTTTGGAAATCCATAGATAAAATTTTATATATGACAATAAATTTTAGAAAAAGACAGATCCACATGACATTTCAAATGGTAAGGAAAACTCTAATAAAACTGGAAGAGACCTTCTGGAAAGAGATTTTACGTGAGAAATTACTGAATAATGTAGTTGAAGTGAAAATTATAGGAGAATATAAAACATGCAGTTTTTAACTTGAAATACAAATACAGTACTGTATAACTGTGTTCTATGACATTCTGGCTTTTTAATAGTGATACAGGTTATATGCTTAGTATTTGATTCAAGTCCCGTGAGAGTTTATTTCCAGTTACTTCAAAGGATTGAGACTAATCTGCAGGCCTCTGGTCTACAGCAGACTTACACTGATAAAGGGAAAACCCTAGGTAGATCACTTCTTGAGGATGAAGATACAATGAGAGACATCCTGGCCCAATGAAACCTACTGAAAGCCTAAAAAAACATGAATACCAAGTGTTCTCAAAACAAGTCACACTACTTAGAGATGTTAAAATAATTTGCTTTCCACATTTTGAGAATGACAGATGTTTCCAATGAACTCATGCATCTATAATTTTCTGTGGTATTCTGGTCACTCTTGTAAGAGAATAAAAATAGCATGCACATTCCCATATACATCTCCTAAATTACTTCATGTCTCTTTTCTGGTACAGAAAACCTATAAAAAAGAATGGTCTCCATATTCTTATTTCAATACAAATTTATTTTCCATTTAGAATCTCATTATTTCTTCTATGGAACAGCAAATAAGTGTTTGGTTTTTTGTGAAGCAAAACTTATAATGCCTCAAGCTTGCAGTCATATCACTGTTCTTCAGTTGTGTTTATACAAAGCAACACTGATGCAATTGGTGTCGTGTTGAACCTAGATATTTTTTTCCTTCTAATATATGTCTGCAAAAGTGCCCACTGCTTGCCTCTCCTACTGTATTAGAAGTTACCATGGTGCCACATTCCAAAGGCTCTAGTTTCTTATTACTGTCCAGTCCAATTTATCAAGCACACTGAAATGACAAGCACAAGACAGAAAGTTCTTGTTGCCCTTGGGCTGGCAAGAACGGGTTTGGTCATCTGAAATTCAAACTAAGGTTTGTAGCTGGATATTACAGTTTCATTTGATGATTTTGTTTTTAAGCAGTGAATTATTTTGCATACATTTTGATCCATAAGCAGAGAAAACAGACTTATCCTGGAAAATGAAGAAAGGTCCTAATATATTCTGAATGAAGATAAACGTATTTAATTCAGCACACTGTATCTATCACAGACACAAGTATTGTTAGTGGTGAAAACTCCACAAAAACCACTTTATCTCTTTTTGTCATGTCTTCAGGTCTCTGAGCAATCACTAATTTCTTGACGGTGAGCTAGTCAGATACAGAAACAGGATTCTGTGGTTAACTACGGGAGCAAGTAAGTATGATCCCTTGCCAGGTTGTTTCAGTGTCTGTGTTCCTTTTGATGGTGGATAGGGCATGTGAAAAACAGATAAAGCTAAAAGCACTGAACGTTCTAAAATAGGCTGTATACATTCTGGGCTGAAACAGAAAATGTATGTTTTTGAGCCTCTATGTTAATGAACTGCCTAGGGGCAACACACCTATTTATAATCCAGCAATAAGAAAAGCAGTAAATAAGACTCAGAGCATGATCAGTTAAGTGCTCAAGAGCGTGATATGCTGATTTTACAAGTTCAGCTGAGACATGTCATTGATTGTTGCTGCAGTGCCAAATGAAAAGGACTCACAAAACTTGTCCTCTACATACAAAAAAAAAAAAAAATCCAGATTTTGGAGATATAGGATTCCTTTTCTTTATTTAAGGTTATCATAGAATGGTTTGGGTTGGCAGGGACCTTAAAGATCATCTTGTTCCACCCCCCTTGCCATAGGCAGGGACACCTCCCACTAGAGCAGGTTGTTCAAGGCCCCATCCAGCCTGGCCTTGAACACCTCCAGGGATGGGGCATCCACAGCTTCTCTGGGCAACCTGTTCCAGTGTCTCACCACCCTCACAATACAGAATCTCTTCCTAGTTTCTAGTGTAAATCTCCCCTCTTTCAGTTTACAGGAGCTGCCCCTCATCATTGCTGGCGGCGAGGGGGCGGCAGCACCGGCGGGCAGGCCTGAGGCGAGCGCGAGGCGGGGGCGGGATGGCGCTGCACAGAGCGGATCCCGCTCAAGGACCCCACAGCCCCAGCCCCAGCCGGGACCAGGAAGTCCGCGGCAGCCAATCAGGCGCGGAGGGGGCGTGGCCAGGAGCCGCGCGGAGGTTTAAAGGCTGTGAAAGCAGTCTCTCAGCCGGTGGGCGGGGTCAGGTTTCTGCGGAGCGGCGGCGCGTGCCCCCTGCGGAGCGGCGGCGCGTGCCCCCTGCGGAGCGGCGGCGCGTGCCCCCTGCGGAGCGGCGGGCCCCCTCTGCGGAGCGCGGCGCGTGCCCCCTCTGCGGAGCGCGGCGCGTGCCGGGTGAGTGTGAGGGGAGGAACGAGGGGCGGGCGGGCTGGGCTGACTGGAAAGAAAACCTCCAAGATGGCCTCCACTCGGCCTGCAGCTGCGCTCAAATGGAATAAAGCGACCCAAACTGACCTGCCGCAGAGACGTGCAGGTGTCTGGGTGAGGGGCTGCAGGGACCGTCTGTGATTCCTGCAGTCCGTGATCTGCTCAGCCTGGTGGCTGAGCTTAAGGAGGGAGTGGGAAGACTGAGGTCCATTTGGGAATGTGGAAGGGAAATGGATTGGTGGAGCCAGGCCCTGCCGTCCTGAGGGAAAAAGGAGCAGGTGGAGGCTCCACGAGAGCACAAATTGTGTGCTTATGCACGTAGCATGGGCAACAAACAGGATGAGCTGGAAGCCATTGTGCAGCAGGGCAGCTATGGTGTGGTCGCCATCACAGAGACATGGTGGGATGACGGTCATGACTGGAATGCTGCGATGGGTGGCTGTAAGTTCTTCAGGAGGAATAGGCAAGGAAGGAGAGGCAGGGGTGTGGCGCTGTACGTTAGGGAGTGTTTTGCACTGCACAGAGGTAGATTCCAGTGATGATAAAGTTGAATGTTTGTGGGTAAGGATGAAGGGGAAGGCTAACAAGGGGGATTTTTTGCTAGGAGTCAGGTTGACATGGTGCTGGGGCACATGGTTTAGCGATGGGTTTTTTTTTGTCAGAGTTGATTTGATGGTTGGACAAGATGATCTTGAAGGTTCCTTCCAACCTAGATGATTCTATGATTTTATGGTCCTATCCTGTTACTACATTCCCTGGTAAAGAGTCCTGGGTAAAGAGTGTGCTTATCCTGTGTAAACAGGTATAAGGAAATTTATTATTCCTCTGAGTAGGCAACATAAGATAGACATTGCAGAGCATTTGATGACTGAGTCATCTTTCCTTCCTCTCCCTTCCTCTTACTACACAGCTGAATGGAGAATTAGCTCCAAAAAACCAAGCTGAAATACTGAAATTAGAAAAGGAATAGAGTAAGAAATGGTAACAATTGAGAAAAATTGCAGATTAATTTCCCCCCATACCCCTCCTCCCCCTTTCCCATCCCTTCTCCCAGCCCCGGAGTTTAAAAAGAACCAGGGACATAACTGTGCTGTAACATAATTTTCTTCCTGTTCTGTTCCCATTATAGTACAGCTTTTTGCTGTCTCTCACTACTGATTGCCAGGGAACTTTCAAATCTGACCTTACATTAGTGAATCTCAGTAACAGACTTATTCTTTATAACTGAAAATCACATACTTCCAACTGACATGTGTTGTATGTACCCATAAATGAATCACAGTAAAAATAAAAATAATTCAAGCATTTTTAAGATGTTTTTAATTTGAAGCTCAGAAAGAGTATAATAACATTGTGGGTCTCCTTTATAAAGAAAACACCCAGATGGGCTCACCATCTACTCTCCATATGGCACTCGGTCCCTCTGCTCTGCATCCCACTGTGCTCACAGTGTAATCCATATGGACCTTACTTAATTAGTTTCCTATTCCTGCAACACTTACTGTCTCCATTCATAGCTTTCCATCAAACATCCACTTATTGATGAGAGAATGTATTATTATGTGATGATTTCCTAGATTGTTGGAAATGTGAAAGCATTCATTTCCTTGTCTGTTGATCAATGCTGTGTCTTTGTCCATTAATGATGAGGTAGGCAACACTCATGCAGATCCAAGTTGTGCAATTTCAGCCAATTTATGAGTGCTTATATGCACCGTATAAGCATAACTATCTGTGTGTTTCTCTATCCGAGCAGAGTGCTCCTAGGATGTGCAAGCAACAAAATGGAGGCCCAGGAACCTGGAGGAAGGCCCCAGACATGCACCAGATGGCTTCGTGTGAGTTTCTCCAGCTGTGAACAGGTAAAGAGTTTAAGGGGAGTTCTGGAGTTACTGTTGTGAGCTGCAGATTCACAGCTGAGAGATATGAAGGACAAAGGGAGGACAAGTGTCACTCTGCTGAGGTTTCCACTTTCCAAAGTAAATTAGCGACACCTGTACACTGTGAGCTGGTTGCATGTGATGTGACTCTAAGGCCAGTGGCAGGCTTACAGCTGCTGATTCTAGATCATGGAAATTGCTAGCTTTAACACTAACTGAATCTATGCATAACGACCACTGGGACAGCTCGTTAAATGTTGACACAATGTGTAACAGTGATCCCAAACTCATATCCTGCTGGTGTTCCTGAGAAAAGAAGTACAATGCCAATGTATAAGGTTACCCAGTTGTTTTGAATGCTACTTTCAGTTCTGATTTTCCTGTCTCTAAAAAGAGTAAGAGGATGCAGTGCTGTGTGATGAAGAATATGACAAACAGATTAAAAAGATAAATATATGAGAAAAGAGACAGAAAAGCTTCAGTATTGATTAAAGGTAGAAGTTGCAAAGGGATAAGGAGAAGGAAAAGGCTATTTTCATATACCTTTTGTTATACAGCTCTAGGCTATAGTTCAGTAAGACAAAGCGATAGACTTAGAAATACTTAATGACACAAAGTTCGACAGGATAATTGGAATGTGAACAAAGTAGAGTTTTCCATAGTTCTATCGTGTGGAGAGTTGTGGAGTTCAGAAAAGAATCAGATTCTTATTTTGATGGTGAAAACATCCAGAAATTTGTTAAATGTCTATATCTACAGATTTTTTACTTTTGTATGTGAAAATATGCCTGTATCTTGTAGAAATTTAGCTAGATGCTGACCAATAAGATTTAGGATGATACTTGTCTTATATATACACATACACATGTGCACACACATGTATGCATACATACACAACCTGAGATTTTTTTTTTGGCATCTTCCTTGAACTGTGAATAGTAAGGAACATAAGAGAAGCCTTGGGACTGGTGACGCAACAACTGAAAATTCATAAAATAGAGGCATGCTGAAGGACAAAGGGAGAAATCAGCGTCTTTTTTTGGTAGTCAGCATCTCTTCTACATACCGTAGCTTATACAAGGGAAACTATCTGTGATAAAATATAGCCTATTATATCCTTTAATTTTTATTGCTGTCATGACACCTGATAAACTCAAACTGCTGATTGTGTCTGGTTCAATGACAACCTGTAACTGTTTCTCTTTCTTCCCCTTGCCCTTCTCTTACCTTTTCCCCCCGCCTCTAAGAATAACTTTAACAGATTGCTACTACAATCTGTATGACAATTTCTTGCCATATTTATTTTCACATATATTATAGTCGTACCTATAGATTTACAGATGTGGATGTGTTTGTTTTTCAGACTCCAAATGCACATACAGTTCTCTATGCACATTGGTAGCCTGCATCTGTCACCATTGCTACTGCATCACAGAATCACAGAAAAGTTGAGGTTGATGGGCACCTCTAGATATCTTCCAGACCAAACTCCAGCTCAAAGAAGGGTCACCTAGAGCAGGTTGCTCACGGTTGTGTCTGGTCAGGCTTTGAATATTGCCAAGGAGGGAGGCTGCACAACCTCTCTGGACAACCTGTGCAGTGTTGTCCATCACCCAGTAAAAAAAAATGAAGATTTTTCTTGTGTTTAAACAGAATTTCCTGTATTTTAGTTTGTGCTGGCCTGTCTAGTCATTGGGTCCCATGGAGAAAAGTCTGGCTCCATCTTCTTTAGTTCCCCCATCAGATATTTATAAACATTGAAAAAAATCTCCCCTGAGCCATTTCTTTTTCAGGGTAAATATTCCCAGCACGTTCACCCTCTCCTTGTATGACAGATGCTCCAGTCCCTTTGTCATCTTTGTGGCCCTTTGCTTATCCGTTCCAATATGTCCCTGTCTTGTACTGGAGAGACCAAACCTAGACAGAACACTCCAGATGTGTCACACCAGGGCTGAGCAGGGAGGAAGTATCATCTCCCTCAACCTTCTGGCAACGTTCTTTCTAACACAGTCCAGGAGGTTCTTGGCCTTCTGTCCCACAAGGTCACATGAGCTTCAGCTGATGTTCAACTTGTCTACCAGGATCCCGGGGTCCTCTTTGGCAAAACTGTTTTCCGACCGGTCTGCAGCCTGTACTGGTGCGTAAAATTATTCCTATGCAGGTGCAGGAGTTAGTTTTTCTATTTGCTTTATGAGATTCCTTTCAGCCCATTTTTCCAGCCTGTCGAGGTCCCTTTGAAGAACAGCACAACTATAGGAATTATAAATAGTTTCTCTGAGTTTTTGTGTCATGTCCAAACTTGTTGAGGGTGCACTCCATCCCATCATACAAGTGATTAATGAAGATGTTAAACAGTATTTGCTGCAGTATTGACCCTTGGGTACACCACTATGTGTCTTGGGTTGCTGGTGCCCTTCTGTGTTGTTTCTCCAGGAGATACTGTGGTTGTTCAAGTTCCCCATGAGGATCATGGCCTGCAAAAGTGAATTTATCTGAAGACTTCAACTACTTTTTAGATAGGTGTTTCTGCAGCAGACACACCCCGCCCTCAGTATCACCCACTTTGGTCTTCCCACTAATTCTGACCTGTAAGGTCTCAGCTAGCTCATCATTCATCTGAAGGCAGAGCTTCATGCATTCCTGCTCCTCTCCCATAAAGAGTGACTCTTCCTTCATCCCATCCTGGCCTGTCATTTCTGAAGTGGAATAAGCATCCATCCATTGCAGCACTTCACTTGTGTGAGTTATTTTGCAACACCTCAGCCCTGCAATTGCACACTGACCTCTGATTCCTTATTCGTTCTCCATGTTGCATTCATTATGTGCAGGCACTTCAGGGAGGTACCCAGCTGTGCTCGTTTTCCAGAAAAGGTACAAGTGCCTTTCCCATGATAATTCTCTTGCAGGTACTTCTTTATTTCTGTGCATATGCTTGAAATGGACCCCTTTCAACTGTGTTTTCTTGATCATGAGGATGCTCAAGTCCACATCACCCTGAACCCTTTGCTTGCCACCTTGGTCCACCACGTCTTTATTCATTGTTGACTGTCTTCCCTGTTGTTCCTACTTTAAAACTCTCTACACTCACTTGCACAGCCTGGTGGCAAAGATGATTTTGACCCACTTTGTAAGGTGGATCCTGTCTATTCCCAGCAGTCCTCAGTCCTTGGAGAGTCCCATCACCATAAAACCTGTCTCTGTTTCCAACACCAGCCATGCTTCTGGCTGTGGATCCACAGAATCAGTGGTTGACCAGCAGGATCAAGGAGAAAAACACCTGTGCGCTTGATGATTACCCCAGAGGCATATAATCACGCTTGATATGCTCCAGGTGGAAGAACAGAAGAGATAATAGTCTAAGGGCTGGTGAAGTTCCATCAGTTTTTTTACAACATCTCAAATCTGAGCCCTGGCAAGCACCAAACCAGCCCAGGTAACAGGTCAGGGCAGCGGACAGGGACTTTAGTCTCTTTTTCACCCTTTCCGATGCTGCGCAGTATGCTGATCTCCTGTCAGAGCTCCTTCACTTAGACAGACCTTCCACCAGTGCACTCCTGCAGGCGAGGAGCCTGCCTCCTGCCACCCCAGCCTCAGCTGAGAGCTCAAGCGTCCCTGCAGTCCTAGGCTTGAAGAGATGCATATGCACTCAAATTGAGACCTCAGATACGCTAGGGGAAATGCTCCAGTGGCTGCTGGGGACTGTGCCCTGCAGCATGTCTCCACCACTGCTGAGCAGCACATATGCTGTCCTCAGCAGAATTTCTGGCCCCCTCTGTGTGCCCTTCTGCATGAATTGCTGCCTCTGCAATAACCCATCTCCAGAGTAAGTGAATTGCTGGTCTGATCTAGCAATTTCCTCGATGTTCTTTGTAACTCTGCAGTGGTTTTCTTCTCCCACCCTTATTATGGTGTCTGAATAGTTCTTTGTGGTTAAACAGCAGGGAACTGTATTGTTTGTTCATCAATAGGTTAGGTCTGGAGAAGGAAAGGGGTGAGGAAAGGAGTGAGTACACAAAAATATAAACAGAATGTCAGACTTTCAAGATAGCTGATCAAAACCAGAGAGGTGTATTAACCTGTTCCATATCAAGGAAGCTGTGACCTGGGCAGAGAATCATCAAAGAGGGATAGTAAAGGCAAATAATTTTCCTTTTTTAAAAAAAAAAACACAAAACAAAACAACCCAAAAAACTTTTCTTTCTTTCACTTTTCTTAGGCCATACAGACTCACATTCTAATGTCTAGGGAGTTTTCATTTACTGCAATTTGAGATGGAGTAGCAAAGGCCTCGCTTACAAGTGGAGAAAGAGGAATAGCCTTTAAAATGTCACTTTGCCACAGGCACCAAGAAGCATTTATACACACTGACTATCAACCACTGTCTTTTTAATAAGAAATGGGATATCGTTTGTCATTGTAGCAGACCCTTCTTTCATTGTTCTCTACTGTATTTTTAGCAACTTCATAATAAATAATGTCTGAATATAACAAAGCGAATAGCTGGGTTGCTCCCAAATGAGGAAATGACCAAAAAAGCCCAAACTAGTTATCGATGAGGAATAGAGATCTACCCTGCTTTTTTTGCCTAGTGAGTACGTTCTCTTCCTGGTAACATATAATACCATTATATTAAAAACTTTATTCTAATTCATTATTTTAAATGTTAACATTACCTTAAATGAAAAAAAATATATAGTTCTGTTACGCCATGACGGTGGTGGGGAGGAAAAAGTCAATTTACACATCACGTGGCCTTGAGTGTTACCAGAGTGCCAGAAAAGAAAGAATGAAGCCCGAAGTCCAGAGTAATTTCTGCTCCCCCCACAACATTAAGGTTCCTTTATTCTCATTAACACATGGTGGCTCCAGATGTCTTTGAAGTAGATGTGAATTTAGACTTTGATGTTATCAGAAGCACTGTTGGACCCTGAGTAGTTGAAATGTTCTAGAAAACTTTACTCCTCACCATGAATATTGCCCAAAAGTAGATGGCTTGGACAACGTTTTAATAGAGAGGACACTGTATTGCCTTTGCAGAAAAATGAGGTGAAGTCTAGTCATATCTGGTGCAGTATAGCTCTTGCCATTAGAGTTTCTGACAGGTTCAGTATTTCTGCTCCTGACAAAGTAATGAAAAGTGAGCCTCTAGCTTTAGTTGTTCGCCCAAGCACCATGCACAACTGTGACCTAGAGGTGACCCTCATAATGTAAGAAAGAACCGATTTTATGACCTTTGAGGGTTTTTGTGTTTTCTTTTTCCCCCCTTGCAGATTTTCATTGCAACAAGACATTGAACCAATTACTTCGTTCTTAGAAGAAAGACTTCAGAGGACAGGAAGATAAATCGTATTGAAGTCCGTGAGTCTGGTGTTCATGACAAATACTGAAAATTTATGAGGAACCACCCTAGTATATCGTAAGTTTACTTTATCATCTATTCTGTACACGTGAAGAGAATATGTTGTTGTTTAAATAATGCAATATATTGGTGCTTTATCTTCTTCATTGCAAAAATCTAAGTATAGTATGAATTTTAACAGGTCAGTTCTGATAACACTATGGCTAGGTGCATAATTATGCGTATTGAGACTCAGTGGGCTGAAAGATTAGGTCAAATACATAACTGAGGTGGGATACTTGTTTTAACATCAGTTCTAATCACTGATTTTCAGACGTTCAAAAAAGGTCTAAGTGGATGTGGATTCATGTTCTTGCTACATACACATTTCTAAAAATGGAGATGGATTTATTTTTACATTGTTGTACAGCAGCAAAGATCATGGATATATGTTTCTTTGATAAGTATTTGTTGCTAGGGGTAAGCTCCAGTTTTTTCATTTTTTTCTGTGTGTATTAGTTACGTGTCATGTAACCATATAAGGTTCATGAAAATGAAAAGGGCAAAATGAAACAATACTGTAATTATTAACACTTTGCATTTTCAGTCAGTGCTGTAAAAATACATCAGGTAGCTGTGACAGCTAACTACCATGACATCATTAGTTACAACCCATGGAAATAGGAGAGCCAGAGCAACAGTAAATGCAGGGAACTTGTTCTTGAAAGCAAGAAACCGCTCAGCAAAACAGAACTTTCCTTAGCTTTAGTGCCAGCACTGACAAAACTTCAGTTGTGCTATAAAGGAATTTTTCAGAAAGCCAGGAATAACAAATTAGAAACGGTGAAGTGGACTAACTTAGCAATATTTAGATACAGATAATAATGCTGTTCAACCTAGTGACAGCTCCAGAGCGCTACTTCTCCAAAAGGAGCTGCAGTGAGGGAGCAACTTTTCTCACTACGTGCTCATCATTCAAAATTTGTAGGTGGAGTTGCTGTTTTTTCCTCACAGCTGTTGAGAGCATCAGACATGAATGCCAAAGTTGCTATGGCTTCGGGTCCTTTCACGGGACTTTTGAGAAGCTGGGCAGAGCGAAGGAACTTCGGTACACATAGAAGGGCTAACACAATCAGATGGAAGTAACCACAGTACTGATAGATTGCCCTGTGTTTGCTAAAATGTGATAAAAGTCTATACCCCTCCCAGGCACCATACAGTGGGTACTTTCTGTAACATTAAAACAGTTTTCATAGTATAATAAAATATAATTAAGCAACACTGCTTTTGAATATGAATTTGGCTACAGTTCAGATGTTTCTCAATAGTTTGAGTCATTCATTAGCATGAAAAATAGCAGTCTTTATCACATTTAGATTCATCTTGGAAGTACGTAATGAGGGAAAATAGCAAGAAAACATATAAAAGCTGTCTGTATAAAAATGCAGTAGCAGCTAAGAAATATAATAAAATGAAAACAACCACCTAGAATTATATGCTAATTAGAATGATTTGTTGTGCCCATAACAACAGAGTTTGATCTAAGTTCTCGATTACTTACTGGTGAGCACACAGTTGGGTAACAGGCAGATAAATTTTCTAGATGCATCTGTCTTCCAGAATGGTCCTATTAATAGTGTTTTCATATGTGGCATTCAACTGGTCACTTGAACTGAACTTTTTACTTAATGTTTAGACGCCTAAATGCATGGTCTACTTGTTGAGCATGGAGATATGTCATGCCTGTGAGTGGTAATAATGATCCTTTAAAAAAATGCTGGTTTAGCTTTTATTATAGGAACAGAGATTGGAAGAAAGTAATCTTTGAGTCATTGAATGCAGTGTTCCACAGCTGTGGGCAGGCATAAAATACAGTGGTTTCCATTCCTGTTTAGCAAGGCACTGCAGCTGCCTTCTCTTCTTTTCAGAATAAAACGGGAAAAAAAATATCTATAAACCAAGCATTAAATAACCTTTAACATAGAATAACCTTTTTTTTTTTTCTCACTTAAACAAAATCAAGATATTTTGTTGTCATTGTTTGTGAAAATCTTGGACCAGCTGTTGTTTTGTTGAACTAATCACAGTCTAGCGTAACCTTACTGACTTTAGAGGCATTAGTTGGAATGGCAGTAGTATTGCATGGTGCATAGTTCAGACCACTGCTGAGATAACATTAGAATATTTTTGTCTGCAGTTCAAGAAATATACAATGTAATACACTGTGTCATAGGGAGTTTCCAATGTATTATGGCACTTACAGTTCTGGGAGAAAAAAAAAAAGAAGAGAAAAATGTGCTAGAAGCCTTAAAAGAGTCAGTCTTACTTTAGTTAGTAGTATTTAATATAGCTTTTATAGTTTTCTGAATCATCTGCCACCCTTTAGCACTGAAAAATTCATTAAAGTGTTTTTGCTGCCTATAGGAGGAACTTTCAGTCTATTTTATTTGATAGTTAACTAAAGTGTACAGTTTTCCTTTCTTCCCTTTCATGGCCAATTAATTTCCCTTATAAAGCCAATCAATTTTGTAACAACTAACCAATGTTACTCCATTAGACCAAGAGTTAGAAGCTGTTCCCAAGCGAAGTCTCTGTGAAATCTGCTAATAAAATGGTCTCTCTCAACACCGATGAGGGCAAGAACACTGTGAACTCAGGGACTCCTATTCACATAGAGCAAAGCAAAGTTAAACAATTTTGCACAGAAACTCTGCAGCGTGTGCATTCCAGCATCACTGCCAGTGTTTTGAGAATGGCTGTGGAGTGCATAGTGTGGCATGGAGTGTGGCACACCCTGGAGCCAAACTGGCTCTAAGGACTGCATATAATTGCACCAAAGCTGTTGTGAATTTGTCAACAGTTCCTAGTGGTCTGTTCTGGGAGAGAGGGATTGGTGTAATGCAGGGGCCTGTGCTGTATGTCAGTCCTCATCAGAATAATAGAATGTTGTATGATTGCAGGTGGTGCCCAGAGAAAACGGTGTAAGTTTCATGGCATTGGGAACAGGGAAAATTCCTCAAAAGTAGAACAGAGGCTGCATTTCTTATTAGCATTGAAAATCAGAGAAATTTCCAAAAAAAGACAAGGAGATTGGCTTTAGGATCACAGGAATTGTTGACTTAAGAATTGGTCATAATTGTCAGTTAATTATAGAAACCAAAGTAACATCACCTTCAATCATCTCTGGAGGTGTTTAAAAGATGGGTAGATGTGATGCTTAGGGACATGATTTACTGGTGAGTTTGGTAGTGTTAGATCGATGATCTTAAAGGTCATGAAAATATAATTCTATGACCATGATTTAAGAAATAAATATGCGCTGTTTTCTGGAGAAGGGTGGCAGAGATATCTTCCTCCAGGTTCATAACATCTGTAAAGAGAGACACAGAGATAAGGTACCTCTGCAGGAGAGACAACTTAGAATTTTCTTGAAAACTTTTTGTTGTTTTAGTAAAATATCTATGTGTTGAAGATCAACAGCTTCCGTGTGATGTGTATCAGGCTTGGGTGGACCTGAAATGAGGAATAAGGACTCAGACTAACCTATGGCTTAATGCACTAATGCTCATGGTATTTACTTGGTAGGTGAGAGAATGACATTTGGAATTCTTATGCCTTACTCACTATAGATGCTTAAATCTTTTATGTTTGTTTCAAGTAAATACTTCTATTAGGTTACAGATAATCACAGAGTAAAATCTACTCATTCATCTTTGCTGAAGATTTTCCACATTTCTTAAGTAATTCAATATGTGTTAAAGGCCTGAACTGTCTTGACTTGGACTTCCAGCTTCCCCCAATCAGCTGCACTCTTACTAAATCTTTGTTCCAATTCTTCCTTTCTTTTCCCTCATTTGTCTTTTGAAAGTTTCATTTCATGGAGAGTGAAATTAATTTCAAATCCTAAAAAATATTTCCTAACTTGCTCTGGCAGGCTTAATGGATAGCTTTTGGGCTTTGGTAGTTTTTGTGTTTCATTTTGTTTGGGTTTTTTTTGGGTTTTTTTGTTTGTTTGTTTGTTTTGGTTTTTTTGTAGATTTGTAGATCTGTGTAAGAAAGATAGATTTTATCTTTGAATCTCTGTTCAAAATATATATCCGGAAATTGTGTGGCCCAGGAGATGCATGGCAAAATGTTTCACATTAAAAGCACATCAATGGAATCCCCTCAAATTAATGTTTACAAATTTACTGATCTAGAGTTGGGATTTGAACAAAGGGATTTAATATCTAGCAGGTGAATTTGGACAGACACCTCTCTGTGGCGATAGAAATGTCACAGATTAGCCCAACTTCTTTCAGCTAAGAGTACAATTTCTACTGGTATTGAGATAATTAATACACAGAAATAAAGTCCAGAGCTTATTGAAAATGTTTAAGTTAGAGGATTGCTACCTCAACTAAGGTATAAGAAGAATAATTTTGATCATGTGTATTTTTTACAAATTCTTATTTCTCTGTGATTCAGTAATGGACACACCTTTTATTTGTTCAATTTTCCCATGAAAATTCATACAAACTCTTTTTGTTCACACAAATATTTGAAGAAGAGCTTCTGTGCATATGAATAAGGTTACTGGAGCATAAATGATCATATTTTTGTGCAAACAAGAGTATTCATGCTGAAATTTCTTAACTAGCTCCCCTACATAAGAAGTCTTTGTGCATCTATGAGTTATGGGTTAGCAATCAGAGGGAGAACAAGAATGTTTTAAAACATAACAAATAAATAAGCTGTTGGTGTGAACTAACACGAGCAGAAAAACTAGAATTAGGAGATCATTGTCCAGTAACAGCAATGAAGAATCACTAAAAGAGCTGTTCTCTGCTACTAGGAGGAAAACTATACTATTCTGATAGGTGATCAGCCTCACCTCAGCCCCAGGAAAGGTAATAGAACAACCAATCCTGGAAACCATTTCTAGCCACATGAAGGTCAAGACAGTGAACAGGAGTAGTCAGCATGGATCCACCAAGTAGTAGTCACATTTGACCAAACTGATAACCTATGATGAAATGGCTGGCTTGGTAGATGAGGGGAGAGCAGTAGGTATTTTTTCCTAGGCTTCAGTAATGATT